GCAGGTCCTGTCACTTGCTGACGCTGTAGTGCAATTGCTTATCTTCCCTGAAGAAGGAGTGTGTCTATTTTTAAAAATGAATTCATAAAATATTACTGATTAAGACAGAAATAAACATGGATGTCCAATATCTTATCAATGAGATCGATGCATGTAAGAAACACAGTAAAAGTCTGACTAGTGGTCCAGGTGGAAGTTAATTTCAGCGGCCCCAGGTGACTTCTCAGGGTGGCCGGGGATGGTGTCTGAGGACGGGAACTAGACACGGGTCCAGATCTGAGCAGGGGACAGAGGAGCAGGACAGTAGGCAGGGTGCACCCCCAAATCCTGGGTCAGGGGCTCTGGAGCAAGCCCTGTGGCGCCCTGTGGCGGTCAGGTGAGTCTCACCTCGCTCTCTGTGTGCCCAGCTCTGTGCACACAGACCTTCACATGCATTTAGTGGTTCCCAGATGGAATGGCGTGGCCAAGAAGTAGGTTCACAGTGGCCCGTGAGGAAGAGAACACAGCAATTAATAAGTGATAATGCAGGAGTGAACTGTGTCTCGTGTCCTCACAGCTGTAAACTTGATGTTGCCCACTTCTGTACGCAGCAGCATGATCATCGACACAGGAAGATCTGCAGGTTTCTTTCATCTGATCGGCTGGGTCAGAATCAGTACTCTGCTCCCGGGGTATCTCTAAAGCCAGCAGTGACCAGTCGCCGCAGGAAGAATCCCGGGTCCCGGGTCAGTCCTCCTGCACGTCCTGAGGCACGTGGGATCAGAGGAGCCGAGCTGGCGACACTGGAGACGTGAGCGACGCTTAGGAAACCGTGTTCATGGAGGCCGTTGCTCCACGGCGTCTCTGAGCTGAGCTGCCACGCGCCTCGCAGCGAAGGAAGTTGCGCCGGGGTGTTGAGAAGCTGGGGACGGAGGGTGTGATAATTTCCTCCGTTTCCACGCGCTCAGAGCAGCCCAGGCGCTGAGGGATATTCACTGCCTGAGACAGTGGTGAAACAATAGTTATTCACATTGTAATTGGATTATTGCTTCATGAGGGGCTGGGAGGGTATGCCCCCCCCCCCCACGGTCTTACCCAATGGCGTGAGGCTGTGCTCACAAAGTCTGCTTTGAACAGAGAAACAGCTGGGCCTAGCTGGTGTGGCTCAGTGGATAGAGCTTCGGCCTGTGGACGGAAGGGTCCCGGGTTCGATTCCCGTCAAGGGCACTTGCCTGGGTTGCGGGCTCCATCCCCAGTTGGGGGTGTGCAGGGGGAGCCCACCAGCGATTCTCTCTCAGCATTGATGTTGCTATCTCTCTCCCTCTCCCTTCCTCTCTGAAATCCATAAAAATCTATTAAAAAAGCAAACAGAGAACAAAAACACACACCAGAGAAACGGCTCCTAAGGAGCGAGCAGTGGGCGCCGTGGGGCTGGGCGTGCCCCGCACTGCCTGCCCTCCGCAGGTCCCCGTGGCCGCGGGTGGAAAAGCCCCGCGGAGGATGGAGATTTCCACGGCGCGGCCGGTCCAGATGCCCGGTCCTTATCTGCGGTCTCAGGAGGTCTTGGCACGAGGCCCTGGGACATCCTCCTCGCAAGAATTTCATGAATAATCCACACGGTCTACGCTTTCAGATCCATGTGTCACTGTAGGAACAATACGCCGCCCTTTGCTCCCATTGTTTTGCCCTTAAAAAGTCTGGGTGTCACGGCCGGTCCCAGCCTCTGCGGTTTTGATGTGTGTGGAATGTGAGTTGATTCACAGACTTCCTGGCCGCTAGCCTGACCTCCCGGAACCCAGTGACTGGACAAAGCCCTGTCACCCTGCTTCCTAGTGCCGCCGGCGCACCTGGCGTGGAGAAGGCCCTTCGTCGGTGTTGACGGGGCGGGGGAATGCGGAGGGAGGACCCGCAGGAAGCACAGGTGTCTCCTGGTGTCTTATTGCAGTTAATAAGGATTAATGGCAGACAGGCCAGGATGGTGCAGTTGGGTGTGCACACACATAGAGGCTGACAACTGCGGGGATCATGTGCTAACATGATACAGATATTTACAAAGAACATAGAAACTCACGTTACTGACATACGTTTATATTAAACTGTAATGTATGTTTGTTGTAAACGTTTTGAAAAAATATAGATGAACCAGCCCGGCTGGCGTGGCTCAGTGGTTGAGCATCGATCCATGAACCAGGAGGTCACGGTTCGATTCCCGGTCAGGGCACATGCTTAGGTTGTGGGCTCGATCCCCAGTGTGGGGCGTGCAGGAGGCAGCTGATCAATGATTCTCTCTCATCATTGATGCTACTATCCCCCTCTCCCTCTCCCTTCCTCTCTGAAATCAATGAAGACATTACAAAAAGGAGAAGAGGTGGAGGACAGTCGATGCAGACACACATTGTCTCCCTTGGTGCCAGGTAGGGGGATAGCAGAGCTGGTTGTAACGTAGCTCCCACTGTGGGAGCATCAGGCTTCCGTTAGCTGCCTGCTATCAGCTCCCTCCTCAGAAATGAAGTGGGATTAAAAGTAGCACCTTTTAAAAAATATATATATTTTTATTGATTTCAGAACTCTGCATTAAATATTTGGAGACTCCTAGGCTGGGATGCTGTGGTGCGGTTCTAGGACTCAGCAGTTACTCTCTTTGAAGATGATGAGAATCAGTCAAACATTGCACCATTCGAAAGGAAGATTTGTTTTTTTATGATTCATTATCTCAAAATTAGCTTCTTCTTAGATCACTTTTTAAGTTGATACACATTTTTAAAAATCAGACATAAAGAAATGTATGGATATGAATTCGGGAAATCAAATAATAGTACCTGGTTATATATTTTTTTCTTTATTCTCATTAAAGAATAAAAATACACACGTCTATGCATTTTACACGAATACACATGCCCATGCATTTTACCTCCATCAGAGAGAAAACACAGAGCCACTGATGTGCATGACCCCAGCAGGTGGAGTAACTGGGTGAAGTGAGGATATTCAGAGTTCTTCGCATTGTTTTGTGACTTTTCTGTAAGTTTAAAATTATGTTCAAATAGAGAGTTTAAAACATGTCAGTGTTCAACGAAGAAGCAGTTCCCATCGGAATGCCAGGGCTTCCTGCTGCCGAAGCCAAGGGCTTGGAAATTAACCCGGTCAGGGTGATGGGACCACGTGGAAGTTCCTTCCATGGCAACGGCGTTGGCAAGGGGGTCCTCCTGAAGGAGTTATCCTACTTAAGGCTGCTTTCTGAGAATCCACACTAGAGCCCTGCCTATGTGGGTACCACAGGCGACACTTGAAATGGATGCTTCCTAGGAGAGCAAACAAGGAGCCTTGTAGGGGTGGGGGTGGGGGAGGTGAGAGGGGGGCGGGGTGTTTTGCTCAGTGCTCCAGATCCAGCCAGTGGATCAGGATAAAACAGCTCATTGCTTTGAAATTTCAGTGGAAACAAAGTTTTAATCAGCCCGCCACCATCTCCTTCATTGTTCAGAGATGAAAAGAGCGGAAGTCCACGGCTCTTCAAACCATGGGTGCTGGGACTTTGTCAGGTTGTGATTCTTACACAGACGGAGGCTTATTTTCTCTTTAGTTTTTTCTTCCTTTGTGTCTTTATGCCTTCCACTTTCTCCTTGATTTCTCCTTTCTTTCCTTCCCTCCACCCTCCACCCTTCTTTCCTTTCTTCCTTCTTCCCTCCTTCTCCGCGCCCCCCCCCCGCCCCCCCGCCTCGTCTATCCTTGCCTCGAGTGGGGCAATCACGGGACAACAAAAGCCGCACAAGCTCGGGCAGTTGATGGAGCCCCTGACACACGCAGGCCCGGAATCTGAGTGAAATCAGCTCGCTGGACATGCGCCCCCGAGACCAGGCGCTGCCCGTGACTCAGGGCTCGGTCCATTGTGTCCTGTGGGCCCCTGTAGAGACCACACCTCTTGACTGGGCCAACTTTCATGTAGCCAGATTCAAAGCAAAATGTTGATTCTTCCAGAGAACAAGTAATTTCCTGAAAATGAGTACTTAAAGGCCTGCCGTCCTCCAAGGAATGTCCAGGCCTACACGAGCTGGACTTCCTTCGGGTGGAAAACAGACGTGTGGCCCCGAACTTGCAGCTCGGGCCCTGAAACACTGGCTCAGGCCCTGCAGGGCATGTCGGTGGACAAGAGGGCTGGCGGGTCTGCATCCGGGTGGGACCAGCTCGCTGCCATGCTAAAAAGCGTTCGTCATGATTTCAGTTATTTGCATTTTATTTCTTCTACTTTCTTATTTTTAAATAAATTTTTATTGATTTCAGAGAGAGAGAGAGAAACATCAATGATGAGAGCAAATCATTGATTGGCTGCCTCCTGCACGCCCCACACAGGGGATGGAGCCCGCAACCCAGGCATGTGCCCTGACCGGGAATCGAACCGGGACCTTCTGGTTCATAGGACAGCGCTCAACCACCGAGCCACGTTGGCCGGGCTAGTTATTTGGATTTTAAATAAATATTTGAGAGCAAGGATTTGACAGGTTTATTTTTCTCTTTATTTCTCTAGCTTCCTTTAATTCTAGAGTCTTCGTGTTTTCAACGGGTGTATGGTGGAGCAAATAGAAATGGTGTGTTTGGAGGGGAAAAAAGAAGCGATTTTGGGCCCTCCCCCGAGATGTGGACTCCATGAAGGTTGTTAAAAACCTGCAAGCCAGTGGCCATCGTGGAACATCGCCCTGAAATAAGTTCTACCTGCACTTTCCTTTCGGGTGAAGGAAGGAGCAGAGGGCGGGCTCCGGCCCTGGGTCCGAGTGGAGCGGCAGCTCCAGAGGCGGGGGCGGCGCAGGCCCGGCACCGGCACTGGCAGCAGGTCCCCGAGGTGCCGGCGGCCCGTGTGAAGCCACGCGGAGTCCCGCCACATCTGCATCCTGCCTCGGCGCGGCGTGTCACACCGGCACGCCGGGTCACACCTGCTGTGGCCGCCCCAGTCCCAGGCAATGGATGCCCTTTTTTTTTTTTAATTAAAAAAAAATCTCCTGGCTGCATATCATCAAGAAAAACAACATTGTTTTCGGGGTCTCTTATCTCTCCACTCCCAAATATCCTGTTTCTTCGGGTTGGGCGGCCAGGACCAATAGAAAGCTCTTCCTGCCATCGGCTGACTTCATTTCCCAGACTTAGCACAATCTCATCCGCTCTAAACAACCTCATCCAAACTACTTTCTGGTCAAGAGAGAAGCAATAATTATTATTAACATTGATTAGCGATCGATAAACGTGATTGCATTATGGCCAGCACGATTAAGGTAAGGAGAGGGCACCTTTTTGCCTGACAGAAATCTTGCGCTTCTTGCTCTTTTCTCTGGTTTCCTTTATCAAGGCAGATAAGTGAGGATTGGGCAACACCCCCACGGCCACAATAGAGGACAACAAGATTTCCTTTGCACTGCCTAGTAAATTTCCTTTTTCCTACTCCAACCATCCGCAAGGCTTAAAAACTTCAAACTCAGAAAAAAATTGGGGTTTCTAAATTCACGGTGGCGTGCCGTGGCGGACTTTGGCGAGGGCTTTTCGGAGCGCGTCTGAATTTTCCTGCTTCTTTCCCTCTCCCCGACGGTTCGGACGGGCGGCCATGGACCCGGAGCGGCTGGAGGGCAGGGTCCGGGACAAGGATGGGCTTGCGGACGCGGAGTTTTTGGATGCTCTGGGATGACGCCCGAGCATCAGGGTTGCCCGCCAGGCCCCGTGGAAGAGAAGAGGTACCCGGCCAGCGGCTGCTCGGCATGGGATGGACATGCAAATGCCGGCTTGCTTTTTGGACCCACCATGCTGAGAACGGAGTGTTCTCATAACTCAGACGGTGGTAATTGGGTTTGCTGCGTCATGTGTCCGTCTTTAATAAAATGCCTACTTTTCTGCGCCCTGGGAGTAAACTTCCTTCTCAGCGATGTTTGCTTTGTGGGGGTTGGAGAGGCAGGGCCTGTCTGTGTTCCGTGCCGGGGGCTGTGAGGTCTGATGTGTTTTTCTTGCAAACGTGTCTGGTGTCTAGTGTACAAAGATGAAGGTGGACGTGACTCTGTCGGTGGGAACCTAAATGTGGCCTCACTCCTGGGAGTGAAATGGATGTCACTCTTAGTGCAAGTCCTTGAAGTGCCAGGCTGTTAAAATATGTTCCCGGCCACCGTGCCTGGGTGACGTTTGTAGAAATGAGAAAAGTCTCCAGGAAGGAGGAAAAAGATAGAGTTTTTGGTAGCTGCGTGCCTTTTATTCGCTGGCATAGAGGTGAGAAGCATTCGGGTGTGTTTTCATCACCGGTTTTAGTTCACTTGAAAGCTCATGAAAACGAAAGTTTGCCCAGAATCGGGCCCAGGCAATTTCAAAATTCCTCCTTGGTTTGGGGCTTTCTGTCATCTGAAATGCTTGTATGAGAGGACTCGATGAACACCCACCGTGTGAACTGCATTTCAGAAGCGCTGTTCAGTTTTTACTCCTCAAGGTTTGTTTTATTTCTCCACGTACGTTCCATAATACATCAAAATACTCATGCAGCAAAGACTTTTGCCTTGTACAGACTTTTCTTCCTCTGGCTCCCGGGATTACAGTCTGCTGAAATGTAACTCACAGAGCTCAGTGTTGGAATTGGGGGTGGCGTGTGCTCCATTTCAGCTATATGAGTAGGAATTATTTATTTTTATAAGCCAGCATGCTACCCTCTTTATTTTATTTTCGCCCTTAATTAAGTCCCTATTTCACAGCAGTTAAAGCAGACACTCTTTGTCATCCTTGAATAGCTTGAGTGCGATTTTATGTGTGTTTGTGTGTTTCAAAAAGGCCGTGCATTAAAGGACATGAAAAATAACAGACCATCCTTCAGAATGTGGGTGCATTCGCAACACACACCAGTGTTACGCTTCTGAAGATCGGAAGCTGTTGTTGGAGCCGGAGCGTGTGGTGGCTTTCAGAGTACATTTCGGGGCAGGGCTCCCACTTGTCTGGGGTACCACGCTGGCGGTCCCGTTTTATTGCACTGCGTTATCTGTGGATTGTCTACGTCTCAGGCTGACTTTTAAAATGACGTCAAGTGAATTCTTTTTAATCCGTTAAAACAGAATGGCCCCTCTTTATAGGCAACTTCCTCCAAGATAGGTTTCTGTTTGCCTTCCTGGGTAGAGTCAGGAGATGATTTTACTGACGTGCTTATAGGAACAGCCGTGGACCGCAGCTTTTATGATGTGAGTGCAAAGCTCACATCGGCGTAGGGCAGGCTGAGGCTGTCCACTGGGTCTAGGACGCGGTCTTCCCTCCAGGCGGTGCCAGGCTCACACGCCCTGCGTGTTCTGTTCTCTCAGTAAATAAACCAGTTGGTCCATTAAGTGCCAGAGGCGCTGCCTTTGTGATGTGGCATGGCACAGCCGAGGGGGGTTTTGGCGTGACTCTCAGGCCCCGTGAGGCGTGATGACAAGCTGAATGTTCCGATGCCGCCTTTGGGACCCTCACCCTTCTTTCCCCCGTGCTGGTTTGGAATCGGGAACACACTGTTTATGGGAAGAAGTAAAGGAATTTCAGGAGCTCACGTTTATCTCTCAGTGTTCCAGGATTTTGAGATCAGATTACGGTTGTAATAAAGCACAAGGACATTGAGGGCGAGGTCCCCGCGTGCAGTTCACGGGTCAGTTTGGTTCTGCGCCTTCCCCCGCTGCCCCACAGAACCGCGCCCTGTTCTCCTGTAGAAGCAGGGCCCGGTCGCCCTGGGCCTCTATCTGTGCTCCTGCTGGTATTGTTAATCCACCCCCAAGGCTCCCCTGATCCTCTTAAGCAGAAGGCCGCTTGGGAAGTCTGTTGCGGCCACGGTCCCCTCTCAGATGCTGCTTTTGCCTGGAGACGCTGCATCTAGTGAAAGACTTGCTCTCCCCGGACTCCTTGGGTGGTCCAGGGACCTCAGTAACAGTCCCTGATTCTAGAGTTTAATGAAGCGGTTCTCAACCTGTGGGTCTCGACCCCTTTGGCGGTCGAACGACCCTTTCACAGGGGTCGCCTAAGACCATCCTGCATATCAGATATTTACATGACGATTCATGACAGTAGCAACATTACAGTTATGAAGTAGCAATGAGAATAATTTTATGGTTGGGTCACAACATGAGGAACTGTATTGAAAGGGCCAGAAGGTTGAGAACCACTGGTTTAATGGTCTCGAGTCTTTAAAAAAAAGGGGGGGGGGAATGTGGGGATTTTCCTTCATCCCAGCGACCTGGTGCTGAAGGAGGAGGAGAGAGCCCGCCCAGCACACAGCAGGCTCGGATCCCACAGGATATGGAAAGTTACCACCGAGGCTTGATGAGGAAGCAGATATTACTGTTTCCAATCAGTTGTTTAGATGAGTCACTTTCTCTGATTTAACAGAGGTTGCCGGGTTTGATGGTAATTGCAACCTGCAGTGTTCATTTAAAAACGGCCCCTTTTACATACTTCATGCCTTGCACGGAGCAGGCACTCGCTGATATCGGCTACTATGCATGAGCACAGAAAGTTATTGAAAAGCTAAAGGTTCTATGAAGAAAGTTCATCTCCTAGGGGTTTTTTTTCTTAATATTTTATTGATTTTTCACAGAGAGGAAGGGAGAGGGATAGAGAGTTAGAAACATCGATCAGCTGCCTCCTGCACACTCCCCAGTGGGGATGTGCCCGCAACCAAGGTACATGCCCTTGACTGGAATCGAACCTGGGACCCTTGAGTCCGCAGGCTGACGCTCTAGCCACTGAGCCAAACCGGTCAGGGCATCTCCTAGGGTTTTGATATGCTTAATAGCTCTGGGTGTATGGTTTTCGTCAACCCATCAGCTTCTGTGGAATAAGAACCGTGTCATCTCTTGTTGGGGGGAGGGTGGTCTGTGACAGTGGAAGGCATGGGACATGTACGATGCCGCCGTCCTGCTCTGTGAGTACCAGACCCCCAGAGAAGGCCCCGAGAGTGGAATTTCAGGCCATTATTTCAGATGGCTCGCGGCGTGCGCTGCGGCGTGGCTCGGCGACACGGTTTGGTGTCTGAGCCCCTGTGCGCACTCGTCCTGGGCATCTGACTCAGTGGCTGGGAGAGCGGATGGAGCCACTGAATTTGTGGATATTCTTTCCCATTAAGTACATTCATGTGGGACTGCCAGGCTTTCAGGGAATTTTCTAAAAGGCCCGAACTATTTCTTAATTATATTTTCTTTAAAGTGATGATTTTCACAATTTTTTTTTTTTTGCAAAACACACCTTCATTTAAAAGAAAACCCTCATAAACACACTCCTTTATACACTTGTTCGCGTCTCCTGAAAAAGCGCACAGAGAAATGAAGTGAATAAGGGAACAGCCGTTACCGATGCCTCCGGAGAAAACCCTGCTCCTGACTCAGCCTCAGAACCAGCTCCCTCCGTGGGGGCGCAGCCCACAGCAGAGAACCCCGCTGGCCCCAGGAGCTGACGGGACGGCCCATGCGGAGGGGACACAGGCTCCGGCCGCCGGGCAGCTGGGGTCGGAGCTGCCCTGGGTGTGAGGCCTCTGAGAGGAGGCAGTACAGTCCCCAGGCCCTTCCAGCGCTGGGGGTGTGCTCGGTGCTCGGCTGGGCAGGGTCTTCTCTCTAGAGCGAGGGGAGCCCCACCTGCCACAGGGGGCTCATCTCTCCTTTGGTGAGGACAGGATGGAGGACAGCTGTCCTCTTTACTTATCTTCTGTGGCCACAGACACACCTGCATTTGAATCCTTACAGTCACGTGACCCCGGGCAAGGGACCTCACCTGTGTGACCTCAGTTTCCTCACCTGTGAAATGGGATTTTAAAGGCTGTCCTGTCCCGTGCTGGTGCCAGTGAAGGCTGCAGAGCCTCTAGCACAGCGGTTCTCAACCTTCCTAATGCCGCGACCCTTTAATACAGTTCCTCATATTGTGGTGACCCCCAACCATAAAATTATTTTCCTTGCTACTTCATCACTGTAATTTTGCTGCTGTTATCAATCGTCATGTAAATATCTGATATGCAGGATATATTTTCATTGTTACAAATTGAACATAATTAAAGCATAGTGATTAATCACAAAAACAATATGTACTTATATATGTGTTTTCCGATGGTCTTAGGCAACCCCTGTGAAAGGGTCGTTTGACCGCCAAAGGGGTCGCGACCCACAGGTTGAGAACCGCTGCTCTAGCAGGTGCTCAGCAAATGGCAGCTGCCGTAGGACAGTCCGTTCCTAAGAGATCGCACTGGCCTTCTGGCCCGGCTCTGAACTCTCTGCTGTTCCGTTGCCCTGCTTCAGCTGTGAAA